GCTAAAACTCAAGATTGGATACAACAATACAAGTGAGGAGGATTATAAATAGTAGAAAAGAACAGAGGTTTAAGCTTTTATACAAGGAAAGCCCGTAAAAAATTAGATTATTCTGTTTTTTTCTCTAATTTTACAATTAGCTTCTTAATCAGAATTGTTTTCTTCTTTGGACCAAGCTTCTTAATGGCTTTGTTTAAGCCCCATATCCAAAATGTAACTAGCTAGTGTACTTACAAAAATAAATTTATAAAAATCTCACGATGGCATCGGTCGAAACACCGAATATGATAAAACTTTCCACATTGCGTACATGACACAGCTTTCCCATAAACCTTCTCTTGACAAATATTACAAACAATTTGATTCGACCTCGAGAACATAACTTGGACCATATTACTATATATGCTTGCCTTTCAAACAACGTCCTCTGCATGTTCCAACGACTTTAACATCCCAAGAAAACGTTTACCTTTCATGGCGCAACTGACGTGGATGACTGAACTGCATATTCGACAAATTGAACCCTTTTATATCCTCTCTGCAGCTGTCACAACTCATCATATCCCTTACAAGGGGTTTTGGCAAGAGTGTCAATGTGTGGTTCCAATGACACCGATGTCTTGATGGTTTCCCCAACTCTGCACATAAATTGTCTATCTGGAAGCTGCATGTCTCGCATTTCCTTACATATGTCGCAATTTTCTTCTTGACGAATCTCACACATGTCCACACCTTTCATCACATGAATATGCCTGATATCATTAACCTGCAAACATTTACCTGAAACGATTTAGAGCCATACTGTTTATACTTTCTTTCACTGGTTAGTTATAACTATAAAGCCATACTGTTAAGTTTGTTTTCACAATCTGTTGTTCTTTCGACGTTTTCACCACAAGAATACAGATCTTCTTTCAAGTACAATATATGGCGAGGGCTCTTCCTGATTTTTATTATGAAACAAAGATCACTGTACTCGGTTCATCATTAAGAAACAAAGCAAACAATGAGTATAGTAATTTACCTCACGTAGAATGCATTCGATGTGACCAAGAAAATCACATTCTTGGCACGAATACACATGATGTCCTGCGTGTACCATTGTCTCGCAAACGCCACAATACTCCAAAGAATCATCTTCTTGTGGGATTATTTTACACACTAGCGGATGAACATGACAAGATCTCTTGAAGATTGACTTAGGTATCCCAAGACACTCGGAATGAAACTCCAAAACAGTGGTAATAAAAACCGAGAGGATTCGATGCAGTTCCATTGCATATTTGACATGGATTATCTCCTCTTACTAGATGTTTCGCATTTGGCGATACATAAAACAATTTGTGCTCATGAGACTTGTGCATCAAACCCCGCAACAAGGAATCAGCACACCTCATCTGAATGTCAAATCTGCATTCTAGGCAACTAAACGGAACACTGTAAATTTGATCCCTACACGCATTACAAACTGTTCGACCACCACTTCTTATGTAATCAATCCATCTAAGCAGGTGTTCCGGATGCACGGGATGTCGAATCTCTGTCAGAAGATGAAGGCAACTCTCGTGGAAAAACGAGTAACAGTAAACACAACCGTAACATATGGAGGAAGGAGAAAGAGGAAGCTCACAAAGCAGGCACGAGCCTCTAGCATGTGGTCCTGGTCTACACCTTCTAAGCAAGTGTTCATGGCTGTAATGAAGCATTTCTCTTAATTCCCAACCCGTGACAATGTTATTCAAGAGTGCACAACCAAGATCAAGATAGATCTCACATTCTTTACACTCGTAGAATGAGCAAGAAGACATGTTACCACACCCAGAGCAGTTTATGTATCCAGGTTTTCGATCATATTGGAATAGACAAAATTCTAGACGGTGTGTGTCACTTTCTGCGGAAGCTTGGAGCAAGATTTACATAAATCGAAATTGCAGGGCTTACAGGCGAATTCAACAGGTTCGTCTTTGAAGCAAATGTTGCAGATGCCATCAGATACAATCTCCGGCGAGGTTAAAAGACATGAATGAGAGAAATGCTCGAGTTTTGCCATCGCCAATACGCAAGACTTTGTAAGCCAGAGTAACAATGAAACTAAGAGTTAATACAAAAACAAAAACCACCTAGTGATCTTGATCAGAGAACCTCCATGATTGAAACTAGAACTCGGAAATATCTTTGAGAAGGTGCTTTTAGTTAGTGGACCACTGGACTCTTTCAACTTTCAAATAATAAATAATCAAGAAGCAGATATCTTCTCGACCCTTATTTTATTTAGGATACATATGGGTTTTGTTTAGTTTCAATTTATTAGCACGGTGGGACTTTGCATTAGCACGGTAGGAGGTTATGGTTAAACTTTGCATACATTATACAAAAAAAAGTACTCAGACACAATCACTCTTCAGTTTTGTCTGACAGGGAAAGTTGCTCACATATACCTATAATGTTTCCTCTGACTTTTAGGTAGAGCAGCACCATTTTAGACGTCATCGGTCTTATTACCTCCACATGTAGACATTAAAACTCTGTATATCCGCTTCGAACACACCTCACCTAACCTTATCTCTCCTCCTAATAACGCTTCCACCCTCAAGTCTTTCAGTACAGCCTCCTTCTCAAGAACCTGGTAAATCCACACAATTCGCTTCAGAAACCGTTAGAAACAACAAACTGAGGAAGCCAATTCAGTATTATGTACTCACCGATATGTTAGGATCCATATAAATCTTTAGAAGGGACTTCATGGATGGATAGTTCTTCCACACTGCTAATGCATATCTTGGCTGTACTTTTGTATTGCTACTAACGCTTTTAACCTATAGACCCAACATAAATTTTGTTTTATGGTTTTTACTTTAGCATGGACTCTTTTTGAACAAGTACTTGTCAGCTCAATCCATGGAGGCTAGCACACCATCGGCATTTACTGATAACCACGATAACTTCTTCCTGTACATCAGATTGTAGAACCATGATTCGTTTACTTCAAAACCAAGCAGGTAACACAATAGCCAGAACCACACAGTTGCACGTATATGTATCAAGTAAGATCTGCTTCTACGTAATGTTGAGTTTTCAGATTCGGTGCCATTTCATTTACTTCACAGCCATGTATGATTTATGAGTAAAAGAAGACGACTAGCCTTCCTGCCCACTTTTCATGATGATCCTGTAATGTCATCTTTATTGCATTAACTTGTCAAGTGCGTGGATCAATATGTGATTTGGACTTCATGGGGTTCTATCAAGAGATATCGGTGAGTCTGGTAGGATTCTCAAGGGAAAAATAATGATAATCCCAACTAGGGTCAGCTTGTTGAACCAACAACATGATAATCCCAACTATCAAGAGATATTATCTTTTGGTAGCAAAAACCGAAATAGCGTAGGCAATAGTACCTGATTTTGCAAGAGGCCAGACAGCTTGTTAAACCAACAACATGTTCAGCCACCTCAGCTTCGTCTACACAGTGCCTGGAATGCACTCGAACATAGTGAGTAGTTAAGTTTGCAAGTACCTGCAAACATCAGACATGTTAGGTGTGGCTAAAGGTGTAGTTAAATGATACGCAAGGAAGCAATCACCCTTTTTACTAAGGATTAATATCTATATAAGGTTAAAAGTAACAAGAGTCAATTGTGGTTACTTTATAAGGTTATCCATCATGCTCTATCTATATATATTAGCGTGGATGGTTTAGGGAAGATCTTTATCAAATGGATTGATCAAAGTTGTGAGAGGGAGAGAAATAACATCTCTTTAGTTTAGGATTTATCTTTTTATGTTTGCATTTCTTTGTATTTGGGATCTTTTGGTAAGGAAGTAAAGAGAGTTTATACTGATTCAAGAGTTGAGATTACAAAATCGTAACAATTGGTATCAGAGCCAAGATCGAACCTTGGGTACGAAAGATCCGGAGAGGTGGGTGTCTTGGGTCGATGCGTTTGTTTCTGCTCAAGGCTTTTCCGATTACGAAACTAGGCAGTTCGCATATGGCTTCATAGAGGGCGATGCTCTAGCATGGTATGGTGATGAAATTTCGCGATCTGTGTTTGGAAGCTGGGAGGAGCTTAAACTCCGTTTGCTTTAACGACTCAGCAAGACCAAACGCGTGGTCTCAGAGCAATCTGTCTGGTTGGAGATCCTTTCGCGGATAGAGAAGCTGAACCGGAAGCTTGACGAAGATGCGTTGTACCGAGAGAGAAAAAGGCAGGAAAGGGAAGGCCTTTACTCTCCTAATTGCCGGCTGGAACTTCCCGTGTTCGACGGCTCAAGGGTGGAGCAGAACCAGCCGAAGATTAAACCACCGGAGGAGCTTAGCCTGGTGAAGAATCTGAGTTCCGGAACTAAGGTAAACACGTCTCTGGTTTGTGAGGAGAGTCAAAGCAGACAGATTTCAAGGAGGATAAAGACGCATACCAGTTGTTCGATGAAATGAAGATGCAAATTAAGAGATGTAAATTAAGAGATGACATAGTATTAGTGAAGCACTGATCCTCTAAGGCCCTTAGCACAAGGGACTTTTTTTTACCTCATTTAATATTTCACAATCAGTAACCCAATCCCATGTTGGGATTTATGAAATGATCTTTGATCAATAACTTTCTAATAAGCAATTATCTCATTCTTCAAAAAAACCTATAACAGGAACAACCACGCAAAAGGATATCGATAAACAATGCTAATATGCGTCGATCTGAAACACACAGAATAGAGCACATTGAACTTTAAACAGTTATTTCAAACCTTGTGCAATCGATGCACTATCCAGAGATGAGAAACATGGCTTTGACTACATCGCTAAAGATGTGACAAATCAAAACTTCCAGCACAGAAGAAAATGATGCATATGTCAGAGAAGAACCTTATGTTCAAGTAACATGCTTATCATTGCAATAAAATAAGATGCAGACCTGATTGGAGATTTAATACTAGTTGCAAGTTCTAAAAATCACTTGTGCATGCATATTCTAGTTGCGGGATTCAAGATACAGACAACTTAACATTTTGCGGAGTAGCTGAGGTCTAATTCTACCTGAGCAATATCCTGTGGATTTGACATTGTCCACACAATGGATCTCTCAATTGGATTAGAGATTATGCGGTATTTAATGCCTTTCTCTGCCAACCTCGAAATCAGACATCCTATATTAACATATTAGCAAACGCATTCAGTCTCTATACTTATTATGAACCAGCCAATCTTGAAGAATATGTTGAATAGTGATCGAAGAATGGTGAAAGTTGTTACCTCCAACTGATCCTTCGACCACTTTAGCATCAATCTCGGCTTCTTCTGCTCTCAAGGCAGCTTTCTGTAATTTCTCTTGCCGGAGATGGAAGCCAATTAACTAATAGGTCCAGGGAACACAAAATAGAAAAGCCAAATAAAAGACACGCACTTCTTTTCTTAACTTGGACGCACGGATTTTTTCCTCCTTTGACATCTGTTTTTTTGGCAATGCTTCAACAGAAAGAGGTGTACTTTAAGAACTTCTGGTCTGCTTTTTTCGACCCCTTTTATCAGTGCTTATAACTTCTTCCTCCTGGTCAGAATTTACCTGATTTTTGCAAGTAAATAAAAAAAAAAACAGAAGACGCAAGCAACTTTGTTCTATTATACAGCTTGTACCATTAAGTAATAATACAAAATCAACACTACACAATGTGCACCAAACAAAAGAAAGAAATAACCAGCAATACCAAGTATACACAAACAAATGACACTATGGGAATCCCAAATTCTCCCAATCCTCGAAAAGAAAGCATTATGGATCACAAAATGAAAAAGAGCCAAGAATATGGTATGAGTGCAGATAAGTACCTCAATAGCATCGTTGGGAAACGAAGAACGAAAACTGGCTCCCTGCATCCAATTAGTACTAGCATCTGAAAGAAAACAGCAACCACCATTTTAAAAGTGGAGAAGAGACCCTTTGCAATTCAGCTTCCATATCACACATACTTTATAGTTCATAACTAGACAACTTTGGTTCTGGAGTAAGCATACCGCATGAAATACTTGGCTTAGATATTCTTGTATTCAGGTCACCGTTTGCCTCACCAGAATCTGCATCACTGGATCCAGATTCCAATTCCCAATGTTGCTCCAACGAATCAACAGGCATGGGCTCGTACTTGTTCGAAGTTCGAGGTCGAGGACTGTCTTCAGAATCCGAACCAAAAGATATTACTTGTTTACCTAGTGAGATTTCCAAAAGAAACATAGACAAGTAGAGGGAAATATTGTTAACCTGATGACTACACTGATAAAATTTCGAATGTAAAATCCGATTTCCAGGCAACTAAGCAACATCATATAAAAATACGAAACCTTTGTAGAAAATTCAACTAAGCGATTCAGTATCAAAAGAACCCAGCAAAGAGAAGTACATATATACAGTAAAACCATAACAAAGAACTGAAAGACCCACCAAAAATCACACAAATTGACAAATAGAGCAGGCTCCTCAGTAAATTTTCCCTATAAATGAAACAATTTCATCAAAAACCGTCGGAGACAAACCATACTTACTGAAATAACAAAGACGGATTGAAAGAATTCTCAATCAGGAACTTCAACTTACCAGAAAACTTATCTTCGCGGCGTGAAGAAACTCCATACTCAACGACAGTGACATCGCCATAGAGAGGTAACTCGTCAACGACAATGGAGTAGAAGCCAATCCATCCGGGCGGTTGTAACTCCGGTGTCGGATGGATAGGGGTAGTAGGATTCTTTCTAGTCCGCC